CAACAGGCGACAGCCACTAGCGCCGTGGGGACTGGCCGGGTTCGGCGGCATTGTGGCGAGCCGGCGACAACAGCAACAGGCCGGCCAACAGCAAGGATGCACTGATCGATCGCATCAGCAGGCAACATGCCAGCCATACAGGGTCCAGCTTCAGGCGTTAGCTGTGCGGATCCAGCCATCCATGTAAGAGGTGAAACCAATCAGAGTTCGAACTTATAAGAAATATTGAATCGATCGAATCAAATTCAAATATAAGGAGAAACACTTTCTGTCTATAGCAAGGCACCAAATAACGGATCAGAATCAGATTCTACTTCACTTAGCAAGGCATCACATTGATGATGGTGATGGGGTAAACTACAGAATAGAGACAAAGAGTAACTGAGAAATTAAGTAGAAAAAAGTTGCAATTGGTGATGTGTTATTCTTGACCTCTATCTCTGGATACATTTCTGATTATTTAATTAAGACTTTGACCATATCAAATTGAAGTGTTTGATTTGTCTATGTAGAGTACAAGGCGTGCCTACGTGCATTGAATTTGATATGGTCAAAGTCTTGATTTGGTATATATAGCCAAAGTCTTTCAATTTGATAATATAGTCAAGGTGGTGGGCACACCCATCAGAAAAATCCTAATCCGCCAACGTGGGGAAATTGAACTATTTGACACTGGAAATAATTTCTCACCTACAAAAATACATCTTTAAATCTTAACCATTCATTCTCTCTCTTTCATTTAATTTTAACCATTCATTAATTTTCCAATCCTAATCCCAATCCCACCCCCGTTTCCCATTATTCAAACACACCCTAAGAGCAAGTTTAATAGTATAGCCAACTACTAACTCCAATTCATATATAGTCGATCTAATAGTTCATTCATATAATAGTTACATACTGTACACTATTAATATCTGGTCCCACCTATCATACACACACCGCGTCTTGAAATCCGTGCTACAGCTGGCTACAAATCTGTATCCCACTGCTCTTCGCTCTTCTCATTTATCTTTTTAAAATATATTTACAGCTAACTTATAGTCTACTATTATACCTGCTCTAAGGAATCGTCACTCTCAAAAATACCACTTTTTCCAATGCTCCTACAAAATTACTATTGAGGAGAGATTTCTTTCTTAACCATTTGCCACTTTCACTGACTGATCATGCTGCAGCCAGCTGCTTGGATGAGGAGTGTTATGGACTCCCTGCTATCTCTTTTGTCCGTTCCTCCGAGTCGGAGATGCATGGAGACCATCGCCGCCTGCTTGTGTACCCCGACACACACGACTGATCTGAGGCAATCCACAACTACAGTGTGTTGCGTGCAGTGGTGCCGAGGTGACCAACAAGATGGTGCTCTGCGTCGAGGTGGGCCAGACCGTGGCAGCGTCAGGCGGCGTCGGAACGATCGTGATGGATACAACTCTTTCACCCCCTTAGACTGTGTTTAGACTGTGTTTAGTTCCCTTCAAACATCTAAAAATTTTATCATATTAAATATTTAGACATATGTATGGAGCATTAAATGTGGATAAAAAAAATCAATTGCACAATTTAACAATGTGTGCTACTGTAAACATTTGTTAATGATGAATTAATTAGGCTTAATAAATTCGTCAAGCAGTTTACAAACAGAATCTGTAATTTATTTTATTATTAGTCTATATTTAATATTTCAAATGTGTGTTCGTATACTTAAAAGAATTTTGGCTGTGCAACTACACACGGCCTTAGGGCATGTACAATGGTAGCCATAAGCAACTGTGATCTCAAGACGCCACGTAGGATAGAACCACACAAAAGTCACACTACCCACAGTGAAAGCCACTCCAAAACGTTTTTGCATGTCAGCCCCTATCTATTTATATGTCAGCCCTTGTATTATCAAACCTATTGAAACTTTATATTTTGAACCCTATAGTAATCAAAAGAAGTATATGTATACTCCTAAACAACTTGAGACCCACTGTCAGCCTCTTCCCATCCCCTTCTCTTTTTTATTCTCCTCTCTCTCTCTTCGATTTCTTCTCCACCGACGCTCTTCTCCTCTCCCCTCCCCCCACATCGCCGCCCTCTCTTTTCCTTCTCCCCTCCCCTCGCTGCCCTCCCCTCCGGCGGCAGATCTGCGCCGCTCGAGCTCTGACGACGGCGGATCTAGCGAAGGCGGGGAGTAGCGGTGGCGGTGGCGGGGAGCAGCGACGACGACCATGGTGGCTGTGGTGGATCTGGCGAGGCGACGACGACCACGGCACGGGGGACTGGACGAGGCAACGCGCGGGGCGCCGACTCCTCGAACGCAAGGCTTCGGCTTGTGGCTTCGCAGCTCCCCAGCCCAGGCGCAGCATTTGCACCGATTCCTCTGCAAGCTCACTGACAGTCTGCGAGACCACCCAAACTCGTGCCAGCTCGGCTCAGCTCCGACGTGGACCTACGAGACCATAGGCCAGGGTCACGCGTTGTACACATGGCCTTACCTTCACCAACGCGATCATGCTCCCAACGTCGCACGTGAGCTTCAATGACTATGGAGGCATGCATACAGATACCCACACTACCTGCTGCTTATCCAACTGGGGCACGTAAAATATGAGGTAGAGTAGAATTTGGTTTCTTTATCCTGTACCCATTGACGCGAAAAAAAAAGGTTTGGGAGATCTGTTTAGACCGAGTTTAGTTTTAAACTTTTTCTTTAAGTTTTTAACTTTTCTATTATATCAAAACTTTTCTACACTTATAAACTTTTAACTTTTTCGTTACATCGTTTTAATTTTAACCAAACTTTTTAATTTTAATGTGAACTAAACATAACATACCCTTAGCTTCAGTTGTAGTACAGGTTTAAACTTTAATACGATATCAGATATGTAAATTGATGAATAATTAAAGACGACGGCTAGCTGGTGAAGGTGTAGATAATAATAAGAAAAATGAAGAAGCGGTGCACTTGACAAGCCGGATGTACCGGCGACGGCCGAGCTGGACGATGTGGATTGGAACAACAAGATAAGATCGGCGGCGGGCGGTGGCTGCACGTAACGCTGCTAGCTACAAGTTGGTCAACGATAAGAAGAGGTCGGGATGCCGTGCACGTTGATATACAGGAGTACGATCGATACCTGCAGAGATTCGACGGCACGTACGTGCGATACCTGCAGAGGTCGGGGTGCCAACCTGCCGTGCACGTTGATGCTAGCTGCTCCATAAGTCCTGCTCCATCCATCCCGTAAAAAACAAATCTAGAATCGGATTCGGATGTGACATATTCTAGTACGATGAATCTGAACAGATGTATGTCCAGATTCTTAGTACTAGGACGTGTCACATCTGGTACTAGTTTGGTTTTTTATGAAACGAAGGGAGTAAATTATAAGATTTATATTTTTTATACGGTCTTCAAAAACATAGTTTGATCATTAATTAATTTCATGTTACAATCCCAACAAATATAAAATTACCATTATATGAAAGTACTTTAAAATATGAATTTATTGATATAACTTGCATAATATTTAGCATATATATGGTTAGTATGATTATTAGTCAAAAGTTATTGAATTTGATTTTCCTTAAAAAAGGACGCTCTATGATTCAGGACGAAGGGAGTGCCTTTATTTTTCAATGTATGACATCATTAACTTTTCGAGATTATTTCTCTTATAAAAAAATATGTAATTATTATTTATTTTATTGAGATTTGATGTTTTATCATATGTTATTTTAAGTATGATTTAAATATTTTTGTATTTGTAAAAAAAATGAATAAGACGAATGATCAAACGTTGATAAAAAGTTAACGGCGTCATACATTAAAAAATAAAGATAGTGTTGTTAGGGTTATGGATACCACATACCCAATAGTAATCGACTAAGTTCAACGGAGCCCACCACATACCATGTCTTATAAAACAAACCTCGTATATAGAAAGAGTTCCGGATAAGGAATGACAAGTAGAGTTCTATATGAAAATAACAAGGACTACTCAGATCGTATCCATATTTATCTCCCTTATTTTACTTGGACAAGGGGGCATCTATGGGTATAAATACAAGCCCCCTAAGAGGTGAGGGGACATTCCATAAAGCCACAAGATCAATACAAGCCAACATGCCCAACACACGTCGCCGGATATCGATATCAGAGATAAACCTAGACATACCCCATCCGGTACCTACGGGGACCAGCAAAGGGATCTAGCGCCATCTCTGATCTCGCCGAGTGCGGATTCAAGGAGGAAGACTACCCTGTCATCGACCACGAGTTGGTTATCTAGCCGCCAAGTCGATGACAGTTAGATAGGTTATCCCAATTATTATACTGGTGTAATTAAGATGAATAAATGAGCAACACCGGCTTCGGCCAACAGGATATAGGGCTATTACCTATCAGATAAGGGGCTCGAACCTGTATAAAAATCCTTGTCTCCATCTCTTTAACCTCAATCTCGTATATACCCTAGTACCGACGATCCCTATATCATCTAAATAACGTAGTCGTGATATCAAACGTCGATAAGTATATACTACTACCTCTATTCGTAAATATAAGGGATATTCACTATTCCAATCTAACATTTGACCGCTCGTCTTATTAAAAAATTTGTGCAAATATAAAAAACAAAAAGTTGTGCTTAAAGTAATTTGGATAATAAAGTAAGTCACAAATAAAATAAATAATAATTCTAAATTTTTTTAAATAAGACGAATGGTCAAATGGTGTAAGCAAAATGTCAAAACTCCTACTATGGTTGTGTTTGGAATATTCCGCGCGCACGCTTTTCAAACTGCTCAACGGTGTATTTTTTTGCAAAAAGTTTCTATACGAAAGTTGCTTAAAAATCATATTGAACCATTTTTAAAAAACAAATGAGCTAATACTTAATTAATAATGCGCTAATGGATCGCTCAGTTTTTCGTGCGCTGCATGTCGTGAACTGAGAATTCCGAACACAGCCTATATATACCCATGCCATCTCCTCGTGTGTTTCTCCGAGAACGATCAGTGCGCCAGACATTATAAGCGAACTTTCATCTTTATATATGACGACTCCTCATGGCCTCCTCCAGTACTCATCAGGTGCCTTCTCTGATCAGGTGCCAGCTGATGACTCTGCTGAAGAACATGGGTATGATAAGAAATCGCATGGCTAGTAGCTTGAGTGTCAAAACTCTCTACACGATTTTCCCTTTCATTAGCAACTAGTACTGGAACACTACATTAATTTACACTAGTTTTTTGCCTTTTTTTTGCTGATTTATTTATTTATCCTGTTAGGGTTAAGGATCATGCCATGCTTGCACCGTTTACAGCCGCATGGCAGACCGCTATCTCACCACCACTGGTTATTGAGAGATCTGAGGTTTTTACTCAGTTTAATTTTTAATTTCTCTTGTAATCTTATTTTTACTAACCAGAGGATAAGATAATTTTTAACATACAACTTTTAACTCTTACTTTTCATATGAGTAAGAAAAATCTTTATTTTTGTTCATGTGTTGGGATTACTGTGCAACATCTTTAAAACCATAACGGTATATGGTTTCCTTACTGTCTTAATTTCGTAGAAAAAAGGAACGCATGTGAGTCTTGGCGTTTTGGAGAGGTGAGCATGCTCTTAAGGGGCAGGCCTCTTAGAGGGCCATATGTGACATAAAACCTTTGAAGTTCTCGGATGTCCGATTTTTGTATGCGGGTATAGTTACAGCCCACCTATAACCTAGAGAGACCCTCATTTTAAAAAAAAGAATAATTGCAAATTTACCACTACTTTAAATCGTTATTGCAAAACTGCCACTAGAAAATTATAAAAATACCACTAGAACTATCATTCGAGTGGCATCCTTCATCCTTACAATATTAAAAAAACCGGTGGCAAATTTGCAAATGCCCCTTAAAAGAAAATCAAATCTGTAGTAGCGGTGGCTTATTTTGTGATATGTCTTCGAGTGCAACGAAACAATGAGGTGTGTTCTACTGTTATTATATCTATATCCAACAAAAATAAATGACAGTTCTCGAAAGAATAAAATGGTGGCGGGGTGCTAAAATTAATTGAAGGCAAGATCATTGAGCAAGCTTTACTTACATTCTACTTTTTTCCCCTTTTTTTAAGGTAATGGATAGATTTCCAGTGTCAGATCAACATCCTATATTTCGAGGATTATTATTAGAGAAAGTAAACATGGTTTCAAGGACATGTAGTCAAGACATCCCAAAGTACCGATCTACAAATAAAAATAAAAATCTCCAATTATTTGCAGCTTGAATAGTCCTCCCCGCGGCTTGTTTCGTAATGTCAACTCCAAATGAGTCAACTCCGCCTCAACTTGACGGTCTACTTAATTAATGTGGCAAACATGTTTCTGCCTCCTCTCTCTATCCGTGTCAATTTTATGTACGTACACGGTGGGGAATAATTGTATCCCTAAGAATTTTATTTCTCTCACACAAGGAAATTAAGTTTCTTCCGTTATGTTAAAAAATTTTATATACACATATTGGGGGTATATACTACGTCCATCCCAAAATATAACAATCTAATACATGGGATGAGACATATCCTAATAATATGAATCTGAGTACACCCAAATTTATAGTAATATGATGCCTCATCTGGGACCACGTTACTATATTTTAGAACGTAGAGAGTATTTTGCACGGAAAATATAACGATCATATTTTTCATTGGAGCAATCCAAATATATTTTTATGCAAACTAGTAGTAATAGTTAAATTTTAATAATGACATTACATTTTCTAAAGACGTACGTCATCTAACTGATGTACTAGCATTCTTTGAAATATTTTGATCTGTACCCTTCCTTTTATTATAACGTACGTATATATGTGAAGTAACGTATATATGCGCACAGGATCGAGCTATGGAGGGGCTGGCAGGGGCCGGGTCCCCACCCCTCCCCATAAAGTTAAAATGAAACGCTAAAAAAACTTGCAGTGAAATTTATTTAAATTTGCGCTCTGATATCTAACGATATTTTGCATCGTATTGCTTGGACCTGATATGCAGGGATGTTACGTTTACGATGTCAACGGGACCAAGTATCTAGATGCACTTGCAGGATTGTTGTCTACAGCTTTAGGTATGTGTATAAGATGTTTTAATAGGAAAATGTCTAATTAACTACCAGCTAACAATCTACTTTGTCCGTTCAACTTCTAACAAAAAAAAAAGTTGGACGAGTCTACCGGGTCGGGCGTCCGATCAGTTTGGAGAAAAATCGGGCGTTGACGTCAACATGCCCGATTTACGTGCAAAACTACTTTAAACTGATTTTTCTCTTAAATTACTTATCGAAATCATGATCCGATTACACCATTAAATTTGTTGCAATTAAATCTTCAAAACAAGACCACACATATGGATATATTCCGATGAAAAAAAATTAGCTTATTATTGAATTATTTTTAAATGTTGCACGATGTCTCACCTGGTATATCAGAATTGTTTCACTTAGTAGATCGAAAATGTTTCATTCGTTTAAATTGGATGTTGTTTCACCTTATATAAAAACAATATTTCAGCAAATAGCGAATCAAATGTTTCAGTTCACTGCAACATTTGATCCATACATAGTGAAATATTATAATACACTAGTTAAAATATTTTGTGGTGGAACAAAAAATAAAACGAATTCGCTTAATAGGGGTTTCTAAAATATGTGGGGTTTTTTTTTGCAATGGAATATCCTTAATAGAAGGTTTCCAAAATATGTGGGTAATTTATTGCAATAGAGTTTTGTGTGTGGATAAGTGACGGGTGGGGACGGGGACATGTGGTGAGGGCCCAGAGAGGCTGCTGGTGCCATGCGATGAGGGGAAGGGGGAGCTAGCAACCGATTTTTTTTCTCTCCCCCGCGCGACCGAGAAGGAGCATTCTTGCTCACTTGGACGAGTATTATTCCCTAATGAGATTTGTCTTTTTTTCCTCACCAGCAAGTTGAGTGTTCAGTTCAAGTTTCGTGGGATAACAACATACTCCCTCCGTCCAAAAAAAAAGACAAACCTTGATTTCCGTGCCCAACGTTTGACCGTCCGTCTTATTTGAAAAAATTATGAAAAAAAAAGTAAAAAGACAAGTCACGCATAAAATATTAATCATGTTTTATCATTTAACAACAATGAAAATACAAATTATAAAAAAATTTCATATAAGACGGACAGTCAAAGTTAGACACGGAAACCCAGGGTTTGTCTTTTTTTGGGACGGAGGGAGTACACTCTGTTTTAAAAGGCCATGCCTACTCCACCTAGATGGTGCCTAGGCGGTAGGTGGAGCATCACTGCCTCGCTTAGCAACTACTCACTCTATTCTATAAAAACCCAATCTAATATTGGATGTAAAATATTTTAATGTATGACGCTATTTATTTTTTATACCATTCGTCTTGTTCAATTTTTTTTTTGTAAAATATAAAAATATTTATGTAATTCTTAAAGAACATTTAATGATAAATCAAGTCAAAATAAAATAAATAATAATTACATAAATTTTTTGAATAAGATGAATGGTCAAATGTTGGCTAAAAAGGTGTGTCATATTCAGTTCTAGATTCTGTTTTTTTTTTATGGAGGGAGTAAGCATTTTGTGTATAGGCGTGTTTTTCTCACCTGGAGCATTTTAAGGTTTGGTTTATACATAAAAGTTGGAGAATATTAAAGATGGAATATGATGAATTATGGTCATAGAACTCATGGATGGCCTATAATGTTAAATTCTTTGTTTCAGCGTGTCAAATTCTTCCATTTAACATGACATAACTCTACCCATCAAGAAAATAAATTGTCTAGGCGTCGTCTACGCACGCTGGCATTAGGCGAAGCGTCACCGCGTGCCTAGCACCTAGCGCTAGAAAAATACCTTAAAAGTTCTTCACCATTATTTTCATTTAATTGTGTATACCTAGCTAGGGTTCATCTAGTATATAGATTACCTAACCTATGAAAATATTCATGAAAAAAAAACCTTCAATACAATTTTCAAACATATGCTATGGTTGTGTTTAGTTCACTAAAATTAGAAGTTTGGTTGAAGTTGGAACGATGTGACGGAAAAGTTGGAAGTTTATGTGTGTAGGAAAGTTTCGATGTGATGGAAAAGTTGGTAGTTTGAAGAATTATTTTGGAACTTCACACGGCCTATATATATATATGCTGTTCTTTGCTACCATGAAAATTCTGAACTTCAAATTCACCTTGTACGGGGAGGGGAAAAAAGGCAAATCTCATCAGGGTAGATGTCACACCCCAATCTGGTACCGCCGTACAACGGCACCTGACAGGAGCGTGTCGTAGAAAAACGGCTTGAACCGCGTCCTACGAAACTGCGATCTCAGTACCAGTCCCAGGACATAGCGCTGGTACCCACGGTGACAAACATGAATCATTACAAATCCTTATAATTAATAGAGGACTTATTTACCTTAACTTAGGTTGCAGCTTAGACAGCCCCAGAATGCAACCGGCGACACAGACGAGGCAAACACCAACAACAGCAGCGGCAGCGGAACCAACCAACGGACTAACACCCAACGCCACAGGCAACGACAGGGAACTAGGACGAAACCCTAATCTTCACTTCACTTCAACTTCATCTTCGGAGCTGGCAGAACTATATTTATATAGAGAGCAAGGGTGAGTACTTACGTACTCAGCAAGCCAGGGGAACTTAGGTGGTTAATGCAGGCTTCAAGGGAAGGCTGTTATTTTGCAAACAGTTTTGTTTTCAAGTTTTCAACAATCTAAGTGTGTGCTTTCCACAACCAGAGCGAGACAAGTCTCAGCTCGGTCGGGAGGTGAGAAGTAACAAATTTATTTATCAAGATTTGCACAACTCCCAGAGTTGGCTTCAAATCTGGTTTTTCCCAAACCAAACCAATTTTCCAAACTTCCCGATAATAGTGGTCCCCAAACGACCAATTACTTCCAGGGACACCCGGTCCCGCTGTCCCCCGGACAGCTAATTGCTTCCCAAGCATTAGGTTTCCCAAACCTTAACACCCTTTTCATAAAACAGGGTAAAACAAAAACTACGCTAAGGAATCACCTCACATCCGCCCATGACCGTGGGCACGGCTGTTCGAACAGTTTGTTAACCTCTGCAGAGGGGGTACACTTTACCCACACGACATTACTAACCCGAATCACCCAGCCCGTATAGAACGGCCACGTCTGGTGACCTAAGGGCTTTCATTACAAGGCATTTCGAGAGCAGACACAGGGTTGCCATATGCCGACGAGAGGGGTCCCAGACCAACAACAGGTTAGGTCCCAGACCATACTGTGCTAGGAAGCCCGGGGGTTCTCCCCGACACCACCCCGTTGAATTCACATGTCTCTCGGCATCAAGGCTCCCCCAATTAGCAATTTACTCAGCTAGGGGCGTCCCATTCCACCCGTGTGGTCGCACTATTGTATGCTCGAATGTAATTCCAAAGGAATCGGTCCTTAGATGCGACCGCACAAGTATTCCGCCTAGGAATGGCCTTGTGTCGCGAGTTTTATTTTTAAAACTCATTTTCTTTCACAAGGCACCGACCCAGGCGTCGGGTTTTCCGAAGCTTTTGTAAACCAAGTTTTACCCAAGAAGTTACTCATATTTTAAGTTTGAAGGCGACCGTCGATACTCGCACAGAGTGCACGAATATCGAGGCGCAGCTAGATGGTTACAAGGGAACATGATATAACAATTAACAATGTAAGGATCAGATGCAACAAGTTGGGTAGGCCCACCGGTCTGCCTTGCAGACGGTGCAAACAGATTAAGTGCAATCCTATCAATGCATAATATTTTGCGAGCAATATAATTAAGTTCAAATATAGGCTCAATATGTTCAAAGGTGGCTTGCCTTGCTCAAGGTCTTCACTGAGCTTCACGAATCTTCGAGAAATCCACGATCGACGAAAATCCGGTAACCGCAACTATGCGCAAACAAACAAAAACCTAAACAAGAGACCAAGAAAAAGACCCTATTTAGACTAAATAATAGTGCCATTAAATAGATCTCGATTTTACGGAAATACTGGAAGTGGAACGGGGTCAATCGGACGATTGGATCGAGAGATACGAATTTTGGAAGTTTAATTGGAATTTCTGGCGAAGGAAGATATTTGTGGAACAAGGGGAGATTGATTCATGAAATTTATAGAAATAATATTCTCAAGAATATTATTGACCGTCTCTGACGTGCGGGACCAAAGGAAATGATTTATAAGGAAATGATTCATGAAATTTTGGAATAGAGAATTGATTTATGGGATCAAGGGAAAAAAGATTTATTAACTCACGAAATAAGATAAAATGATTTACTGAATTTATAGAAGAGAGAAATATTTGTGGAATATTGGAAAAGACATTCTCAAGATTATCTTTGACTCATTGACGAGTGGGGCCAATAAGAAGGTGAGAGAGAGAGGAGCAATTGGAGGGAGCAATTGCGGACTTTTAGCTCTTCGGTGTGTGGGCACCGGACTCGGAAGAGGGAGTAAAAGTAAACTTCCTTTGTTTTGTTAGGCCGAGGAGGAAGGCTGGCCAATGGGCCAAGCCCACGAGCCAGGGGAGAAAGGGGGAGGGGGACGGCTGACCGGCTGACTGGGCAGGGGCAGGCCCGGTCAACGCCACGTGGGCAGCCACGTCGGATGGGGAGAGAAAATGGGGGGGGGGGGGGCGGGAATGGCATCGGACGGCTCACGGTGCGCGGTGGAATCCGGCGAACGGCGGCGAGCCGAAGCGAGCGACGAACACCGGTGGCTAGAGGAGGTCAAGGCGAACCGATTCCACGGCTCGGATTGGGAAGACAACGCGCGACGACGGCCGGCGGCGGCGGCGAAGCTCGCCGGGATGCCGACGTGGATGCGCGATGGGAAGGGATGCGGCTCGCGCGCTCAGGCTTAGTGGACGCGGTATGGGGTTGCAGCGCACACGCGGTGACGCGGGACCCGATGGTCGCCGGGCTGTGGCTCGCGGCGGCGCCTTGCGGCGGCGGGAGGGGCGGCACGGCGCGGGAGCGAGGAGGAAGGTCGGCGGCCAGGGGGAGGGGTTGGGGAGGTCGAGGGGGGGCCCGAGGAAGGTGGCGGCGCCGGGAATCAAGGAGAGGAGGGAGGCCGACGGCAGGGGAGGCACAGCGGAGGTGGCCGAGCGCGGCAGCAGCGAATCGGGCGACGCAACGCGAGGGCGAGAGGGGAGGCCGGCGGCTGAAACAGCGGCTTGGGGAGGTAGAGAGGGAACTCAAGAACGGCGGTGGCTAGAGGAGTCGCCGAGAGGGAGGCCAACGGCGGCTCTCGATTGCGCATGGCGGCGGAAACAGAGCACGCGCGACGCGAGCTACGCGAGTGCTGGGACAGCGGAAAAGGGAGGTGAGGAGCTCACCGACGGGAGGTAACGGCGTTGGCGGCGAGTTGAGGATGGGAAGGCCGATGGCGGCGCATGGACGAGCAGCGGCGCACGGCGACGAACGTGATGCCGAGGCGGCATCGTGTCACGGTGGGCGTGCCGGGGAAGGGAACGGAGGCGTGCGGTGGCGCCCTTGGTCGCGGCGGTGGCGATGCTCCGGGGTTGGCCGCGCGACGGCGACCGAGGTTGAGGGAGGAGGCGGCAGAGGACGGACCGTGCGACGGCGAGATGTCGCCGGACATGGAGCTCGACGCGACGGCGAGGAGTTCCCATGGCGGCAGGGCTCCGCCGCTTGGGGGGGGAACGAAGCAAGGAAGGGAGGAAGCACAGGGGGTGGGTTTTATAGAGACAGAGTGGGAGCGGCAAGGTCGGTTCGAGGTGGCCGCGGTTTTCTTGGCGCTCGGCTGGTGTTCATGGGCGCCGCGAGAACGAGCGACGGCAAGGATGCAAAGGGTGGTGGAGGCGGTGGATCGTGTGGTGGGAAATCGAACCGCGAGCACGGGAGGATTGGCGCGGGGCGAGCGGGTGCGGTCAAGGTGGGGGCGGCGAGGCGCTGCAGCGGCGTCAGCGGCTCTGCCTTTTGAACAAGAAGCCAAGGAGTGGAGGCAGGGAGCTCGCTACCCGGGAGGGGAAAAAGCGAAAGGAGGAGGAGGAGGAAAGGGAGCTTTGCTCCTTCCGTTTTGGGAGGAAAGGGATGAGAACGAGCCGCGCCTCACGGTTTTGGATGCATGCGGCATGGGGCGCCGGGCCCGAGAGGATGACGCCGGCGACGACTGCAAAAGGACGGGGACGGTTTGAAGGCAAGCGCGGACACGGTGGTCATCGGGGCAGGCGACAACCGAGGGTGGCGATGGCGGCGCCCAGGCGGTCAGCCACGCGCACGGGCGCGCGGGAATCGAAGGCGGCGGCCGGAATTTTGGGCAGCGTCGGCGGGAAGCGACGCCGAGAGAGAGAGAGAGAGAGAGAGAGAGAGAGGGCGCTCTCTGAGGGAGTCACGTGCGGCGCACGTGCGATGGAGAGGCTGGCGAAAGAAGAGGATGGGCCGAGGATGGTTTCGGCCCGAGCGAGTTGGAGGGAGGCAAAATAGACTTTTACTGGAAGGTTTGATTTGGAGAGAAATTTGATGTGGAGATTGAATTTGAATTCAATTTGTATATTTGTACACGAGGGTTCAAGGTGGATCCAAGGGAGGGGTCAAGGAAGGGCTTCAAAAGCGGGAATTTTGATATTTTTGGGATAGATTTATATTTGGCGGCACGAAGGATTATTTCAGAGGATTTCAAAAAGGGAAGATCATTATTCAAAAATGGAACAAGGGAGATAGCGGTAGAATGCCATGGATAGATAGATAGACAGAAAGGTAGGTTGATAGGTAGAGGGACGGATAGACAGATGGATTGACAGATGGATAGATAAACAGATAGATAGGTATAGTAGATAGATAGATGGATCGATCGAAAGATAGATAGATCGAGACTCACAGAGAGATGGGATGGAAGAGAAGGAAGAGGTGGACCGGAAAAAGGAAGAAGGAATCCAACCTATGAGGGAGGTTAAATAGACTTTCATAGAGAGATTTAATTGGGAGGTTTTAGGGTTGGGGTCTGGATTCGAGTTTCGAGGTTGATACTCGGTCTCGGGAGAATAGGAAGGAGTCAAGGAAGGGAACAATATTCAGAGACGAGTCAAAGTGAGATGGATAATTTAGAGAAAGAGAGTGTAACTTGGGAGTTTGAGTTTGACTACTCAACGAGATATGTGGGTAAGGATTTTGGAGGGAAGTCTAAATAGAAGGGTTCGGACTTCGAGATTATTTCGGAACGGAAATCATTTTGGGGAGAACTCAAGGCGAAAGGGATTGAATCTTGGGGTTTAGAGTTCAAGGGTGGAAGTGATCTCGATTTGCATATTCAGACTTGGGTCAGAAGTTCGAGAAAGAAAACAAGGGTAGATTGACGAACCAATACAGAGAGAAATATAGATGAAACAAAACCTGAGAGGTTGAATTCGAATTTGAGAATCGGTTTGAAGGAACCAAGGAGAGAGTTTATGACGCGAAGGTGAATCCTTGGACGGAGTTAGGGTTCGGGCATTTGACAAAGTTCACGGATGGGGTTCCATGAGGGGATTCCGAATAGAAGGAATCGAGCTTCGGGACTATATTGGGATGGAAACTTTGAGGAGACGATCTTTGATAGCACAAAGATGGACCAAAGGAGGGATGTAAATTGAGATCTTTGGCACAACTTAGACTTCAACACTCAAAGAACGAAATTTTCGCAATTAGGATTTTCAGTAAATTAGCTTTTAACGTCTCGCGAAAAGCGGGGCGTTACAGTAGATTAAACCGGTTGAAATGTTTTAGTGGAGTAAATTCAGACGAAGTTTTGTCAGGAGGCTTGCTAAGTGGATAAATTGAATTGTTCCAGGTAGTAAATCCAGCCGAAGTTTTAAATATGAATCCAATGTAGTACCATTTTATCTTGTAATCGACGTATTGATATTGAACTAATTCCATTGTTAAAAAATGATATTGAACTAATTATTGATCAAGGGTAGAGGGAGCAGTGAAGTGATCAATAACTGATTATAAACGCTGATGCATTAACCACTCATGCATGCTATTTTCAGGTGGTAGTGAGCCTCGTTTAGTCAAAGCTGCTACGGAGCAATTAAACAAGTTACCCTTCTACCACTCCTTTTGGAACCATACAACCAGGCCTTCTTTGGTACATATGTATTCTGCATCTTTAATTCATCAATCGTTGTTTTATTTGTATTGTTTCTTTTTTTTCAGATATTAATACTACATGAGAAAATGTTATAGTGACTGACTTAGTCATTCTGCAAACAAAAAAAAAACTTGTAAATACTGATGATTGGAGGTTTGCTGCTACTTGCAGGATCTTGCGAAAGAACTTATTAGCATGTTTACTGCCAGGGAAATGGGCAAAGTGTTCTTTACGAACAGTGGTTCAGAAGCAAATGACTCTCAGGTAATATTATTGTTAAAGTACCAGCCATTTCCTGCAGTTTGCACCGTGAAAAATTATATCAGTTAAAAGAAAGATCAGAATGCAAGGGTTAAAGTCTGATACTTTTGCGGTTCAAATTCGAATTTTTGTGAAAAATATAATCCATATTAGTGTCAAGTATATATGGTAGAAATTATGTAGGTTGTTAAATATATGTGAATTAGTAGTTAAAATGTGGGATATGTGCTTGCACAAATTTTAAAATGAACATTAATATGCAGTGGGCCCAACCAGGACGCGTCTAGGTAGAGTGCAGTAGCGTGTTAGTCTTAAATCGAGACCTCTCACTTTTTCAATTTCATCTGTTACTTTACAGACCCCACATACTTTCTAGGGAAAATTTGAAATTTTAAATAAAATTTTCTCTTAAATTATTTATCTGATCTATGATCTGATTACACATATGATCTATTTACACCATTGTGTTCGTTACAATTAAATCTTTCTAGCAATCTTACATAATTATATTATGATAAAAAATAATTAGGTTGTAAATTATATATGTAAGTTAATTTTATCATATATATATATATAAACTACTTTTAGATATGATTAAATTAGTTTTTAGACATTCAGTGAACAATTATTTATTGGTTAGTTCTATAATATATTGATTAAATTTAATTTCTAGATAGACTTATGTTTTTACCCCCACAATAGATTTACTTTTAATGTCATGACAAGTTACTTTCTTTTATTTTAAGTTACTTCTATAATATATGTAAATTACTTTTAAGCTTTATTGAATTCACTTTTATATGTCTAAGAAGTAATTTGATGAAATCTAAAAATTATTTAGATATATTAAAAAAGTAATTTGTAATTTTTCATCAACAAATATAATCAAGTGAGATCATGTTGTAAAGATTTAATTGTTACGAACACAATAATATAATCGGATCGTACATCGAATGAGTAACTTAAAAGAAAATTCTATTTAACGCATAGGTGGTAGGAATTTTTTTTTACTGGCTTGATGTACTAGTATTATGCTTAAGTATGACTCTTCCAGTTATGTGATGTCATCGCTAGTTACAACTAAAACGAGAGGCTCTCGATTGAGATTTTACGTTACATTATTGATGGTGTGAATTGTTTCTTCCAAAAGTACTACTGATAGTATGTCTCTCTTATTGATACCCGTATACATAAAGTACAAATTAAATCCTTGAAAGTTTTATTAATGTTCCATACAATGAAAGAGGGAATGATGCATGACCTTTGTGATCTCAAGGATTGGAATACATAACAGTAGATAGGGAAGATTGTAAATTAAGTAAATTTTACATTGTGTTGCACATAGTTCGAACATCATCATGTTTACATGATGGTAATGTTTCCCTCGGCTCATAACGAAGTGATGTTTCTAATTGCTCGGTATATAAAACTAATTGTCGTAGGTCAATTTGGTTGTCCAAAACATCGACTAAATCCGGCTGGAGGTAGTATATCAGAAGAGTATCTACTATATTATTACTGCTTGGTTAATTTGTTGGTTGAACTTTTTTATGGGATGTCAGTGCATATCTAATTTCTTTCCTTCATCATGTTTATGCCCTTTGTATAGTTGTGTTGGATTGAAGAGTCACAATAAACACATAGATTAATCTTGACTGATATATTTTGTTCTTTTTCTTGATTTGTTACTCTTCTGCCATTGTTTTCCACACGTAGAATATAATGCTTATTTCGAATTCTTTTGCAGGTTAAGATAGTATGGTATTATAACAATGCATTGGGGAGGCCAAAGAAGAAAAATATCATTTCACGGACACAATCGTAAGCTACATATATACTCGTGTTCCTTAAAACAAGAAATGCCTAGCTAGTTTCACCCTATATATTCTAGATCTATTGGCATGTTTTTTCCCGTTTACTTTCTCCATGTTACAAATCCATGGCTAGCTACTTTCAATTAACTCTCTCTAGATAGCAATGTTCATAGACACCAAATAAATCCAGGGGCGGATTCACAATGGGGGCGGAGGGGTCTCGAGACCCCACTACCGCCCCCAGGACAGTGGAGACCCCCTAAGCCCCCGCTAAATTTTTTTTTTCTATAGATCCATAGGATGTGGGGACTGGAGGTTCGATTTATGCTGATGTAGTTTATTCAGCCTCCACTACTATTTTTTTCTAGATCCGTCACTGAATAAATCCATCCCAGCTAACTTCTATAAAAGAGTGATTTTACGATACTTGTACCTATGGTATTAGGAGGTACTAAAATTTTGGTATACCTCTCACGGACTGTAAAATTTATCTCTACAAAATCACTTTTAATGGCATGCTTAATTCTTACTGCAGATATCATGGAACAACATTCATATCAGCTAGTCTATCAGGGTGAGTATAGTCCTATTGAAAAATCAGCCAGCAAATTTATCCACTGGAAATTTAACTACTGAAATGACTAGTTCATATTTGAAGTCACATTTGCTAATCCCTTCTGCATCTTTAGTCTTCCTACCTTGCATCAGGATTTTGATCTGCCAGGACGTTTTGTTCTGCACACAGACTGCCCTCACTACTGGCGCTTCCATCTCCCTGGTATACTTATTTTTTTATTTATGATTAACAGAGTGCATTTTTCGATGAAATTAATGATTTTTGTGGGAGACAGGTGAGACAGAAGAAGAATTTGCAACTAGACTTGCCGATAATTTAGAGAATCTTATCCTCAAACAAGGACCAGAAACGGTATACCTCTCTTGACACACCTCAAAACTTATAATATACCGGAGTTTACCGACCTAATCTATTTCCTTTTCCCCTTAGATCGCTGCCTTCATTGCTGAACCTGTGATTGGTGCTGGTGGTGTTATCCTTCCTCCAAAGACATATTTTGAGAAGGTGGATGGATTGGCATACTATAAATTAAAGTTGCATTTCCATTTAGAAAACCTAAGGGACTGTTTAGTTGGTGAAATAAAAATTTTTGAGTGTCACATCGAACATTTGACCGGATGTCGGAAGGGGTTTTCGGACACGAATGAAAAAACTAATTTCATAACTCGCCTGGAAACCACGAGACGAATCTTTTGAGCCTAATTAAGCCATCATTAGCACGTGTGGGTTACTGTAGCACTTATAGCTAATCATGGACTAATTAGGCTTAAAAGATTCGTCTCGCGATTTACATGCAAACTGTGCAATTAATTTTTCTTTTTATCTATATTTAATGCTCCATACATGTGTCCAAAGATTCGATGTGATGTTTTTTGAAAAGTTTTTGGGGAACTAAACAGGGACTAACTGTATTCATTTACTTCATGCATTCTGGAATACAGTAATATTGAGCTAAGATATATTACCCATATGTGGAACTTTTGATAGTTGCTCGATCACTCTGAAATTTTTGTACTTCATTACACTCTAGCAGTTCCACAAAACTGTAGTGGTTTACTGAGTTGCTAGTGTTCATGTATTACTATTCGCTGAACAACAAAATTGTAGTTATGCATGTTCATTGTGTGCTATTTTGTTGTCTGTCAACAGATTCAAGCAGTGGTTAAGAAGTATGACATCCTTTTTATTGTAGATGAGGTATGCTTTCATTATTATTTTTTATGAGGTATGTTTACATTATATCTTACCAAGACAAGAAATTTTGCTGTCCTTGAAAAAGTACATGTAGGTAAATTTATCTATTATCTGAAGGTAGCAAGTTTTACATAAAAAATGTGGTACCTTCTCAAAGATGATAAAATTACTCCCGAGACAAACATAAAATGGGGAAACAACAATTAACTTTTTAGGGCAAAAGTTTTGAACTTACGGTCCATTCTAGGTTATTACTGGATTTGGAAGGTTGGGAACCATGTTCGGATCTGATTTGTATAACATCAAACCAGATCTTGTCTCCTTGGCCAAGGTGTGCTATCTAGTACCAAATTACAAGTACTACTTAACATTTGTTACATGATACAAGATGACTGATCATCTTAATTTACCATGATATAGGCTCTTTCTTCTGCCTATGCTCCCATTGGAGCGATACTTGTTAGCCCGGAAATATCAGATGTGATTCATTCTCATAGTAACAAGCTCGGTAAGTTAAATGCTACTATACGAACCGATCCTATTGTTTGTGGGTAAAAATTTTGGTACCCACAGCTACTCTCTCATTGTTTGTAGTCCAAAAACAAAGACATGATGAAGTTGTTGTCTTTTGTCACAGGTACATTTGCTCATGGCTTTACATATTCTGGCCATCCTGTTTCCTGTGCTGTTGCTTTAGAGGCGCTGAAAATTTATCGGTACACTCACTTTTCTATTCCCGAAACATAGCCATTAATTGTAGGTACATAGGTTTTATTTGTTTCTGATGAATGTTTCACAAAATTACTGGTACCAGGGAAAGAGATATTCCTGGTCATGTCACACATGTTGCTCAAAGGTTCCAGGAGGGAATCAAGGCCTTTGCAGCTGGAAGTCCAATTGTTGGGGAGGTATTAATCTGTTTAGATTTTTGAAATATTTCCATGTTTCTCCTGGTGCTCTGGTACCACAGGCACGATTTTGGTCTCTTATTTGAACACATAAACAGCATAGCTTATGTGTGCTCTTGTATGCAGACACGTGGTGTAGGATTGCTGATAGCAACTGAGTTCACCGATAACAAATCACCATATGAGTTATTCCCTTTTGAGTGGGGTAAGTAACACTAGTGACTACAAGCACTTATAATTAAGTAATTTAATTATCAGCATTACACCAATGTTACCCACTACGCTTTAATTAGCACGACAAAAAACTAGGAACAACTAGGGCCCTGTTTAGTTCCATGGGCTAATTATTAGCTCCCACCTTTTAGGCCTGAATTAGCCCTCAAGTATATATCCAAACATGTGGGCTAATTTGAGGCTAACGTGAATTAGCCCCTCTCAAAATATTAGCCCCTCCAAGGGGTATTAATGGGGCTAATTTTGTGTGGGGACCATCAAAAAGCAGCTATCTCTCTCCTCTCTTTTTACTCTCTCTCCACCTTTTAGCCTTGAATTAGCCCATGGATCCAAACATACCACCCTAGGCTAATGTTTAGCCTACCGATTCATGACTAAACATTAGCTCTCAAAATTAGCCCTGGGCTAATCTTTCAAATAGGGCCTAAGATTAGGGTAGGAAATATGTTATGTGTGTTACCTAAATAATAATTTTTTTTACTAAGTCACCTGGGGGGAGTTTCCCCACCTCCTGAATATATTGCGTCAAACAAAAGTACACAGGGCAGGCTTTACCTGCGCAAGCGCAGGAGCCCTGAAAGATAGTAGCAGAAGATACACGGGGAGTACAAAGAAGAGAATACAAAAGAGAGGCGACCCTCTGAAGATAACAATTGACGTTTATCATCTATAAAAGACCCAGCCAAACCAAAACAACCTAAAGCTAACACCCTAGCTCGTCAACAACCAATTCCTCATGCAGACTTGGAAACACCATGACTCCACACCAATGGGCCTTTTTGCCACGAGCATGCTGGGTTGGAGTTATAATGACCAAAAGACTGTGGAAGTCAAGACCACCCGCATCAAGCCGTCATGAATCAAACATTGACTTGTTGCAACTTGGATCAGTGCCCGCCAACGCCCTTTGGGGGAAAGAAGCCCCAGAGGAGGGAGAGCCACTGAAGGTTGCAGCCATCGCCACACGCATAATAATCAAATAATTGTGTTCTGTGTTAAAACCTAACTGTGTTCTGTGTTTTGCAAACAAAAAACAACGTAATGGCATGGAGAAGATGAAAAAGGAGAATAGGGATGAAAGAAAGAGATAAGGGTAATTTGGTTGGAAAAAAATAGAAAATGGTTTGAAGGGGTAAGCGGTGGCATATATCGAATAACTGTTAAATTACAATGGTATGATTTCAAATAGTTGAGTAATATTGGCATATTTCAAAGCCATAAAAATTATAATGGCATGAATCTAATTAACCCTTTATCTTTTGGTATGTGCACATGTATATGATCAATAGCATATTCACTTCCATATAATGGTCTATCACTGCCGATTCAGCGAGCATTGATAGTGATAAAGTATCGCTGTCGGTTCTACACTTTCTTGCGCCCAATCCCGTCCAAAATCCAAAGAACAATATCACTACCAGCTCGTGTCACGATCCGATCCTGCAATGATACAACAGTGCCGATTCGTGGCACGAACCGGCAGTGATAGTAGGTATCACTGCGGCTTCATGCCACGAACCGGCAGTGATATGGGGACCTCAATTATTAGTTTGGGGCCACGGTGATGCGGTGATTTCGGAAGTAAGTATCACTGCTGGTTCATGCCACGAGCCGTCCGTCCCGTGCCTTGACCGCCCGACTGTATTTTTTTTTTAATTTGTAGGCGGGCTTTCAGTGTCGGTTCTTGACACCTATCAACAGTGATAAGCAGTGTCCAAACGGTGCCGGGTAGGACTATCAATTCCGAACTAACAATGATATCCATTTGAGATTTGTTTCAGTCCAACAAAAAGTACCTCGAGGTACCGGTACCTCACGGTACCAAATCATTTCTGATCGTTGGATGGTACCGTGAGGTACCGATACCGAGGTACTTTTTATTGGACCGAAACAAAACTCTACATTATCACTGCATGTGAAAAAACCGACAGTGTTACTCGCAGCCAACACTGTCGCCAGCCCACTGCTGGCAGGGAATCCGGCAGTGATAGGCCCCACGAACCGATAGTGTTAGCCGGTTTTGGGGCTATTGGTGTTGGTGTTACCGAATGGAATGGTGGCTTATATAGTCCTAATTTCCAATATACATGAGATTTATAACATAGTCAGATTTAGTCCCTATATTTGTAGGGGTATTCCCTCAAAAAAAAATATTTGTATGGGTAGCACTAGATGCTGCATTTTGTTCATCTGAATACGTGAATGGAAGTCAATTATTAAGGCCGTGATGTACCAATGAGCCTTGCTAGAATTGCATTGGGTGGGTTAAGGTATGTGCTGACAAAGTAAAAGTTCTAATGATTTTTTATGGCGTTTTTCAGGTGTTGGTGAAATATTTGGACAGGAGTGTAAGAAACGTGGCATGATGGTTAAGGTTCTTGGAAACTTGATAGCGATGTCCCCACCACTGATAATAACCCGTGAAGAAATTGATAAAGTAATTAAGAACAAATCACAGCATAACCTTTCTCCCTCTTTTCTGGTTGTAGATGAAAGCAACGCTGTTATGTCATGACTCATAGTACTCTATTGCTTTTCAGCTGGTGAGCATATATGGAGAAGCTCTGAAGGCAACAGAGGAAAGAGTGGCAGAGCTAAAATCCAAGAAGAATTAGTCAACATATGTCATCTATGGCAATGGCGGCAAAGGTTGAAGGCAATGATGTGGTCCCTGCACCGAATAAATTCCACTGGTGCTTGTTGTTCGATAATTTGTTGAAATATTACTGATGTTGTGTTAAAAGACAATTATTAGCTTTCCACTAAATCTCGGAGTACTTGTTCTTTCTGATAGTACGAAATCGTACTGCCACACCTTAAGTACATTATGTGTAACCCGCAGCGGCACCCGGAGACGCGCCGATGCAGGGGAGGCACATCCCCCCCTCCCGGCGCGCGCGCGGAACAATCACCCGGGAGATAGCCTGGTATCATAAACGGCACTGTTCTTGCTTCATGTTGATGTAGATTAGCGACGCTCCAATACATAAACGAGTGGCGTTAATCTCGACAAAGAGACAAGAGAGAGGGCACCACGGATGAACGACATATTGTCATCTTGGCACGGCGGAGAGGAAACATCACGGATGGACAGCATCACATCACCGTTGGTGTAGCGGGGAGAAGGCATCACAGACGGATAGCATCTCATCATGTTGGTGTAGCGAAAATGGGTGTCACAGACGGACGGCATCTATCTCAGCGTGACAGAGAGGAGACGTCACGGATGGACGGCACCAATCTTGGCATGACGAAGAGAGAGTGCACCATGGACTGATGGTATGGCTACTCCGGGGTGACGAAGAGAAGGCCTCACTGGCGGCTGGAATCGATCTCGACAAAGACTTGCGAGTGGTGCCAACAGATTGGTTGGCACGGCGACTCCGGCATGATGGAGAGAGTGCACCTGTTGATAAAAAAACACACACTGATCTGAGAGATTTACTTTACTCTAGTGCAGGTTCAAAGATTAATTTGCTTTCGGGTTCAGGGTGTGCCAGTTGATTTGATCTTACAACCAACAAAAAAACAAAGAAAACAAAGTTAAATCTATAAACGATAGCCGATCGGACGGATTGCCAATGACGTATCGTTTAATATTAAGACGATGTATCATGCATCAGATCGGCAGTGAAGTATATAACAAAGAAATAATTAGATCTACTTGATCGGCTAAAGATATCAATAATATACAATCTATGCTTCGAAATATGTTTAAACCAAGTGATTGGGATAGATCGGACAGTACGCCGAGACAGTATAAATCACTTATGATTAAAAGTACTTTAGAACAAAGATTATATATATTCATAGCATAGCCGATATTCCTTATTTTTTAATTCAAATTTCAGCTATTTCTAAATTGTACTTTTATATGGACTATGTTTTTCTTTTTCTCCGATTAATATGAAAATTTTTATATGCCGAGAGCGAATGTGGAGACTCATTTTTCTATTACTCTAATAAGTTAATAGATAGATTTGACGGTCTCACTTACACGGTACACTGCATGCATGCAGTACGTACTGATCTCCCAGTTCCTCCTTGGTTTGCCCTCATACATGCATACGCATATATATATTAACCAAACATGCATGTGTATATAGCTGGGCACACACATATTTGCATGCCTCATGCATCACACGTAAGCCAACAAACTAGCTAGTTTCACATATTAATACATGTGGCTGTCATTTTGCTTGTTTTGGCCAACATCCATATTCTCTATTTGAACAAGATAGCAAAATGCCCTCAAACAACGAGTGCTCCGGCGAGATCAATGATGGGCCTGTTTGCATCATAATTTGGCGGGAAAAAGTACACCGAAGTTCCCTCAACTTGTCATCGAGTTACAAAATCATCCCCCAACCGTAAAACCAAGTATCTAGCATCCCTCAACTATCAAAACAGGCCACAATAGGTTCTTCGGTGGTTTTGACCCCGGTTTTATCCTACGTGGGCCCCACATGTCAGGCTGCCACATCAGCTTCTCTCTCCCTCTCTTTCCCCCTCTTCTCTCCCTTCCTCATCTCTCTCTCTCCCTTCTCTGACTCAGCCAGCGGGAGGAGGAGGGCGTCAGCGGCCGGTGAGGGGCGACGCGGCGGCGGTGATGGCGGCGGCGGGCGACGCAGCGGTGGTGGGGGGAGAAGCTGCGGGTGGGCGGCGAGGAGCAGCGCGCGGGCGGCGGGGGGAGGAGTGGCGCGCGGGCTCCCCCGTCTGCCCCTGCCCACGAGGCTCACGTCGTACAAGTCCTTCCCGTCGGCACTGCCCAGCGTGAACTCGGCGAGGGTGACGGGCGGCGCGCCACCGAGGGAGCAGCTCACAACGCCGCCGAAGTCCCCCGTGGCACAGGCGAGGGACGCGGTGCCGGAGGGTGCACAGTCCGTGCGCGCCCACAAGCGGCCGGACCAACCATCCGGGGCTGGGAACGAGACATTGGCACCGAGCGACAGCTCGAAGCCGCCACCCCCGATGGCCACCGCGGTGTTTCCGGACAAGGTGGTCGGCCAGACGGTGTAGGTGCAGTTGTTGCGCAGCGTGAAGACCGTCGTGCCAGCTGACTCAGCGCCGAACTGCAGCTGTGACCATAGGAACCCTACATTGAGACACAACATTGTTGAAGAATGAGTCGGGTGCAAGTGGCTGGGCGTTCGACAGCAGCGGCTGTGGTGGTGGTGACCACGACTGCGGTCACCGGAGGCATGACGGCCTCGGACGGCTAGCCGAGGGCGTGGGAAACAGCTGCTTCTGGCCGGCACGGCATCGTTCGATGAAGGGGTCGGAGACTGGCTTGGCACAGAGAGGCGTAGCCGATGGCAGCGGAGGCCGGCTCGGCGCGAGAGGCGCGGGCGGCGGAGATGGAGGCCGGCTTGGCGCGAGAGGCGTGGCCGGCAGTGGAGGAGGCGACCTAGGTGAGAGGAGGAGCTGCCGGTGGATATGGCGTGGTCTTCGGCGCACGAAGGCTGGCCGGCGGGGGACGTCGGTGCAGGGGTCCCACATGTCGGCAGAGCTTGTGTGGTGGTGGCGCATCGGTGCGTCAGCCGTGGATTCGCAGCCGGTGAGCGGCGGGTGAAAACCCAGTGCGGCCTTGGCCGAACCGACAACGATCCTCCTGAGGGTGTTGTTGTGCTGTCTCACCCCTCAAGGGTGATAGCCGGGCGAAAGCCCAGTCTTGGCTCTTTTGAGTCCCGACGGACGGGCGGTGGTTTTTCCGTCGCTTCTCTTCTTGAAGACGTTGTTTTGGCATCCCCTAGGGGGCGATCTCGTCTGTGTCCCTTTGTTGGTCTAGGTGACGGTCGGTGTCACATCCTGATTTTTGTTTCAGGATTTATAAATTATTTAATAAATTATTATTAGAATTTATATTAAATGTTCATTAATTTACAAGTGAAGTTAAATGTGGGAAATAAAATTTCCTAAATATAAAGCATGGATGGATTTAATTTTTATTAAATTCTCCATGATTAAGTATACTCTCTGAAATTTTCTCGAATTTTTCGAAGCTCAATTCCTAAATGATACAAAGAACAGTTCAGTAATTATTTGATCATTAATGATCTAATTATAATTGTTAAGAGCTTTTCTTGTTTAAAAATCCTTAAATTATAAATTGTTGTTTAAAAGGAATTATTAGAAATGATCTTAAAAGCCTAAAAGAGAAGATTTTTTTTAATTTGCTAAATCTCAATATAAAATTGGGCGAGATAAAATTTTGTTAAATACTTCTCTTGAATCTTTAGTTCCTAGATTTTTCTGGATTTATTTGAGCCAAGAAAGTATTTTTAATAAATGGAATTGCATTTCATGAATAATTTAAATTGAAAAAGGTTTTTAAAAAGTCTCTTTTGGCTTTGGGCCGAAAGCCGGCCCAAAACCTCTCTCTTTCTCTCTCCCTCCCCGGCCCAGTCGGCCCAGCCCGTCGTCGCTTCCTTCTCTCTCGGTGCCGCTGACAGGTGGGGCCTACCTGTTAGGGCTGTCTTCCTCCTCCAGCCGTCGCCTGGCCGAACCCTAGCCGAGCTGCGCCGCCGCCGCTTCCCTTCCAAATTCCGCCGCCCCTCTCTATTTCCGGTCAAATTGATTGAGGGCAAATGATCCTTGAGATCTCCTCTTCCTTTCCTCTTTTGGAATCATCGCCTAATTCGGTTTGGAAACTTGTGGATTCGATCTCGAATCGGATTCATCTCTCTCCCCTAACCCTAGACTTTCCTTCTCGTCGCCGGTCGCCGTGGGCCTTCGCCGCCGCCTTCCAACCCCTATATAAGGATCCCCAAGCTCTCCTCTACCCGCCGCCACCCTCGCCTTCGTCTCTCGCCGTCGGTAGCGCCCTAGCGCCGTGTAACCTCGAGCCGCCGTCGTTGCCGCCGCTCCAGCCGTGCTTCGCCATCGTTTCAGTCGTCGCCGTCGCTCGGGAAGGTCGCCATCGTGGTCGCCGTCGCGTCGCCGTCCTCGTCCGCCCCTTCGCCGTCGCTGTAGACCGCCGGAGCATCGCCGTCGTCGTCAAGCCGAAGGACTCCGCCGCCTTTTCCTCGACGCCGCCGCCGTCCGTTCATCTTCCGCCGCTTCTTTGGTCATCGGTGAGTTCGCCGCGTCGCTCTCTACGTGCTGGTGCCCTCCGTTCGTGCCGTAGTGCCGTCGTTCGCCGGCGAGCAAGTGCGCCCGAGCCGCCGCCGGAGGTGACATCACCGCTGACGTCGTCGTCATCGACTCTCGTGGCCCGGTCGTGGACCGTTCGATCTCGGCCGTCCGTTTTGGATAGGATCGATCTCGGCCGTTCGTTCCCGTGAGCCGCCGCCGTGCACCCGGTTCACCGCAAACCCTAGCCGATGACGCAATAATTCCCTTTTTCTTTTCAAAAATAATTCATTATTGCGTCATAATTCAATTAAAATCCATATAAGTGTTTTAACCCGATTTAATCTTTAAAAATTCATAACTAATTCATTGTAACTCAGTTTAATGTAGTTCAAGTTACAAAAGTTGTGTAAAATAAAGATCTACATATTAAAATTATCCATAAATTGAATTAAATTTATTTAATTCTTTTTAAATGGGCTTTAATTAGATTTAATCTTGTAAAATTCATAATAAATTCATATGAAGTCAGAATGAGGCCGTTCAAGTCTCATAATTCATCTAAAATTATGATCTACATGTTTGTTTACTTTATATGTATTGTTTATTTGGTTTTTATTAGTCTTTTTCTTCGTTTTGCGTGTTAGCTTGTCGTTTCCGTCGTTGCGAAGGTTCGTGAGTGCGTCGGGAGTGTTCAGAAGATTAATTGAAGACCGATTATTGCAAGGCAAGTCACACAGATCCTAAACACAATCCTTTGAGCATGTTGATCCTATATTTAAATTCTCTATTTATTTCAACTGTGCATTTACTTTCGAATGTCACTGGGTGGTGTGAATCTATTCCTTTGTTATGGCCTGTTTGCATTGATTACTTTATTACTTGATACCTTGGGTTATTATAACTTGACTAGTTGAGCTTTATATATTGGTTTAGCTAGATATTAGATATGATTGCTTAGCCATGCTTAGAAATATTAGCACACTATTGGGATAACTTATGACTCACTATTATTTAATGATGGCTTAATGATAGTTCACGATGGTCAATCGTGATTGGTTAATTAATTACTTGCCAACTCAAACTTGATAATGGTGGGTTGTGAGCACATGGTTTTGAGAATCGTGCTCATGGCAATTAAGGACCGGTTCGCGAGCTACTGTTGTGAAATATTAACCGTGCCAACCACAAGCCAGCGTGGGCAACGGCTTTACCTTTTGTATAACATGATTCATTGCGGAGCACCAGACTGAGAAGTGGCGGAGATAAGCCCACGGAGGTCGCTGGGGAGTCCATGCCTTGTTTTATAAGGGGGTGATTATGATCCAGGAATGGTGCACTGTGGTGAGTTGTGTTGTGCAGAGGGTATTGTCACAGCCTCTATTCGGGTACTTTCCAGTATCGCGACGCATGGTAGACATGATGTTGAGGCTGTGTCTTGTGGGTACAGTGGTACACCTCTGGCCAGAGTAAAACTATTCGAATAGCCGTGCCCGCGGTTATGGGCGGGTTGAGCAATGTTTTTCGTGATTAGTCTCACACCTCTCACAATAATTATGGATGTTATACCTGGTAATAATTTGCTTAGCTCCTGGTTTGGAGTTAGATCTGTACAGCCGGGTATGGTTGTTCAGAATGGTTGGGCCTGAGCAGCATGGGCGTGTTGTTCAGTGTTGATTAAAATTAATGATTAAAGTACTCTACTGTTTTATTACTCTTAAATGTTTGCTAAATGCTGCTTTTGCAAATGAGCCTATATTATGCCATCCTTTGGTATCCTTGTGCACTTGCATATTTGCTGTGTGGCTTGTTGAGTATGTCATATGCTCATTCTTGCAATAATTAATCAACCTCAGTTGAAGAAAAAGGATCCAGAAGGAGAAGACGTTTGGCTTATACCCCAGTTGAGCTGCCTGTGGGAGTGGAGCTGAAGCCATCGCTAGACCGTTATTCCGCTGCTGTTTTCTTTTCTTTTGTAAGTGTGTAACGTTATTATTATGATGGATTTGTATATTAAATTGTCAGTTTGTGTACCTCGGCTGATTCCTGGACGAGGATTTTATGCACAAATAAGTTCGGAAATTACTAGTGAATTTTCGGGCGTGACAGTCGGTCACGCTTAGCGGCGGTCGGTCACACTTAGCGGCGGCCGCTCCGGTGCTAGCCTTCTCTTGGACGCTTGTGTTGGCGATGTCGGTGTGTGAGTGGTGGTATTCTTTTTTTTCCCTGGTTACGATCCTCCAGGGTTGTAATCTTTATTTTTTTTCCTGCTCTATCAATAGAACTTCACACCGTCGTGTGCGAGTCGTTAAAAAAAAAAGAAGAATGAAGAAGATGTGTGCTAACAGCCTAAAGTTAACCGGCCTGAAAGTTTCTCGGACTTACCAACAAGGAGTAGAAGGGCTGGAGATCGTCCGAATTCCATTGATCGAAATGGTTTAGCTCGAATGAGAAAAAGGTGAATATATTTTTTTGGAATTGAGGAGAGAAATGGCAGTTGAACAATGCACGTACTCAAAGCGTGCGAGCTGCAGCTAAGATAGTAGAAGAGGAAATGCACAAATGGTGAAGTAGCAGCAGCAATAATTTGCCTGGTGATTATCTTGTTTATATGGACGTTGGTGATATCCTCAGTAATTTGCCGTGTCGTTGCCGCCTCCTCCTCTGCCTCGTGGGCCTCGTGGGCTCGTCGCCGCCCGCGCGCCGCCCCTCCCCGCCGCCCACTCGCAGCTTCTCCCCCACCGCCGCCGCGTCGCCTCTCGCCGACACCCTCCTCCTCCCGCCAGCTAAGTCAGAGAAGGGAGAGAGATAAAGAAGGGAGATAAGAGGGGAAAAGAGAGAGAAGAGGTGGGTTATATGACAGCATGACATGTGGGTCCCACTCTGACTTAGCCGTCACGTAAGACAAAACCAGGATCAAAACTACCTAAGGATCTATTGTGACCGGTTTTGATAGTTGAGGGATGCTGGATACCTGATTTTACGGTTGGGGGACGATTTTGTAACTCGATGACAAGTTGAGGGACCTTCGGTGCACTTTTTCCTAATTTGGCGTCAACAGGGCCCTGCACCGCGGCCTACGGGACTGTCTATCCATTTGTCGGGTGATTTCTAACCAAAAATTACCCAGATTTTTTTTACTCTTAGATTTACATCTAACGGACTACAAAAGAATATACAAATACATATTTACTTACACATTATTTTTATCAAAATTACAGTGCACTTATATGCCATATCAACTGAATTTACAAATGTAATTTTAGGTATATAGGACAGTAATTTTATATTTTAAAGAAAATAACAAATATATATTTACTTACATATTATTTTTATTAAAATTACAGTGCACTTACATGCCATATCAACTGAATTTACAAATGTAATTTTAGTTATGTATGACTGTAACTTTATATTTCACGACGACGACGAGAGTGGCCGTACTGCCGGCGGCCAGCTCAATCAGAGGCCACCTTGGCACCGTGCTTCTCCATCATCACGCGCGCGGGGGTAGCTAGGTAACACAGGCCGACGTGCCAGCCGGCCGGCGAGCTGCATGGAACATCGATCTTGCAAATTGCCGCTCGCATCGCAAGCTGCATGGAGGCCAAAACAAAGTGTCAAATGCCAGAAAAAAATCACACGGAGATGGATAGCAAAATCGTTTTCATATAAAAATGAGATTGCGACTCTTTGAGTCTCCTCCTGCTACCGAGGATGTAACACTCACTCTCCTTATGCAATATTAATTCAAGTGTTATATAAAAAGCTTGGAGAATCCATCCCCGTGTCCCTGGAAAAGCCAACACCAACCTTTCAACGGGCCCAAATGTTGCTCCTGCACTAATTAATCACTTTAATTACAGCTACGCAGAGCATTTTGGCTAACTTGAACTCGTTTAAGAATAAATCTAAAGCAAAAAAAAGTCACCTGTCACTCTTGATGTGTCATTGTACAGCTGGAAGTCAGACACTGCGAGCTCTCTTCAGAAAATGTATTTGCACGGTCAACTCTTTGATGCACATTATATGGACTCTGCTGAAAGCTTGAAATTGCAACAAATTACTGCTTTGATTGATAAGGCCTGGTTTATGGCTAGCTTCTCAGATTGGGACAATGCTTACATGGATCCTTGTGTGTGCTGATCCAATTAGGCAAATACTGAGCCAAAGTACTAGCATCTTCTTTAATTTTAAGTTAAGTCAAACTTCATTATGGCATCTGGGGCAATAGCAACATGCCAACTTGTTAATTTCCATACCAAACCATGCATGATGGAAGGAAAGCATCAGTGCCAAGTAACCATGCAATTCACACTTCTGAATCCATCATACATTCATTGTATTGACACTTTTAAAAAAAGAGAGATTTGCTCTGGTACGACAAAAAGTAACTCGAGGTACCGATACCTCATGATGCTAAATCGTTTTCGATCGTTGGATCTAACAATGCACATCATGTCCAGCTAGATTCAACGATAAGAAACGATTTGGTACCGTGAGGTACCGGTACCTCGAGATACTTTTTGTTGAATTGGAGCAAATTTCTTTAAAAAATACCTGCAGGTGCTCTAGTTCAACTGAAGGGCCAGATTTAGCAATATCTGAGTCCTTCAAATAAATTCATCAACTAACAAACTTCAACCGAAGCTATATATAAACAAAATCAAAAACCGTGATAGAATAACGGTATATATTTGACCAGAACATCGAAAACGAAACAGGGAAATGTACAAAATTGGAAAGAAAAAGGGTGAAATAACTTATGGAACATACCAAAGGTTGGGGGTGTTGACATATCCACACAAATTAAACTATAATCTGAAGACCTCCAACTCCAAGTTGTCAAGACAAATAACCGAGCACGCGAGCGCGGTTCATATGATGTGTATGGGAATTGGGATGCTGAAAACAAATGCAACTGGACACATATCTGCAACTTGTAAATAACTTTTATTTCTTTTAATGGAAAAAATGTGCCTCTCGCGTATTCCGGAAAAGAACATTCTGTCCTATACATGACATCCTGATATGTTGTAAACATGATAAATAACTGGTAAGTTGCCTGAAATCTCTATCAAGGTTAAAGTCGGCCGAAGAATTGCAGGGAGACAGATGAACTGATGAGTAAGAGACAGCAAAGACCTGATGAACACAAGAGGGTCATATGTCCCCTTGCTGTCAGTGTCAGGGTTGGCATATTTGCAAGCCGGTGTGCAAAGTCAGATTGATAACGCATGCAATGGCCGTTGGATCGCTGCAAAAGATGTAGGTTAGATAGAACCGAAGCCGTGAACATGATACTAGTAGCTAACAACAACTTTTGTTGTTGATCCTGACACGCCGTTGCTTTGCTTCAGGCCGTCATGAAAAAAAACCAGTGCATATCTCATGGCAAGAAGAAGTGCAGGTTGTGAACTGAAACTGCAAACATGAAGAGAAAATACAGAAGTTTATGAAGAAGCTCCCATCAATCCAAGCAAAGTTTTTTTTTTCTTGTTATTTAATAGAACAAAGTTACAATGCCAGAGTAAACAGTGCTGAGCCACAATTCTTGGAATCTCATTTTACTCTGAACACTGAAGGATTCTGTGGACAGATACAGAACATAACATAACAGAACAGAACAGAAAAGGAAGAGAAATTAATTAATCGGCAAGCAACAGATCGATTCTGCGCACGCATCTGATGGGATATTCTGATCCTTGGTGGATCCCATGGGATAAAGGGCAGTCTTCTCCGGAGATGCGGCGCCGAGGTTATCTCCTTTATCAATTCATTTCAGCTTAATTTAAACGGTTCTTTGCTTTCCTGTAATATACATGCAATGTAGTTTCAGAGATCAGAGTCGAGACTGTCAACGCTAGCTAGCTGCCTCTAATTTTGTTGTTTTAAATTCAGACCAATAATGCACCCATTGTTAATTCAGAAAGAAATCGGTAAGCCCAGAGAGTTCAGACTTCAGAGAGCTGACAGCGTGTTCAGGCCGTTCGATTTTGGTGAGGCCATTGCACCAGCACGAATCACGAGGCAGATATTACAACTTGAGCTCTCTATAAATAGCCCCAGCGATGCGCGATCCAAAGCAAGCAACAGCAGCAGAAGTGCACTTTTGCATTCTATTTCCAATCAATCCAAGAGGCTAGAGCTAGCGGCCAAGATCATCGTCACCGGCGGCATGGACTCGTCGACGGTGGGCGCTCCGGGGAGCTCGCTGCACGGCGTGACGGGGCGCGAGCCGGCGTTCGCGTTCTCGACGGAGGTGGGCGGCGAGGACGCGGCGGCGGCGAGCAAGTTCGACTTGCCGGTGGACTCGGAGCACAAGGCGAAGACGATCAGGTTGCTGTCGTTCGCGAACCCGCATATGAGGACGTTCCACCTATCATGGATCTCCTTCTTCTCCTGCTTCGTCTCCACCTTCGCCGCCGCCCCTCTCGTCCCCATCATCCGCGACAACCTCAACCTCACCAAGGCCGACATCGGCAACGCCGGCGTCGCCTCCGTCTCCGGCTCCATCTTCTCCAGGCTCGCCATGGGCGCCATCTGCGACATGCTCGGCCCGCGCTACGGCTGCGCCTTCCTCATCATGCTCGCCGCGCCCACCGTCTTCTGCATGTCGCTCATCGACTCCGCCGCGGGGTACATCGCCGTGCGCTTCCTCATCGGCTTCTCCCTCGCCACCTTCGTGTCATGCCAGTACTGGATGAGCACCATGTTCAACAGCAAGATCATCGGCCTCGTCAACGGCCTCGCCGCCGGGTGGGGAAACATGGGCGGCGGCGCGACGCAGCTCATCATGCCGCTCGTCTACGACGTGATCCGCAAGTGCGGCGCGACGCCGTTCACGGCGTGGAGGCTGGCCTACTTCGTGCCGGGGACGCTGCACGTGGTGATGGGCGTGCTGGTGCTGACGCTGGGGCAGGACCTCCCCGACGGCAACCTGCGCAGCCTGCAGAAGAAGGGTGACGTCAACAGGGACAGCTTCTCCAGGGTGCTCTGGTACGCCGTCACCAACTACCGCACCTGGATCTTCGTCCTCCTCTACGGCTACTCCATGGGCGTCGAGCTCACCACCGACAACGTCATCGCCGAGTACTTCTACGATCGCTTCGACCTCGACCTCCGCGTCGCCGGCATCATCGCCGCATCCTTCGGCATGGCCAACATCGTCGCGCGCCCCACCGGCGGCCTCCTCTCGGACCTCGGCGCGCGCTACTTCGGCATGCGCGCCCGCCTCTGGAACATTTGGATCCTCCAGACCGCCGGCGGCGCGTTCTGCCTCCTGCTCGGCCGCGCATCCACCCTCCCCACCTCCGTCGTCTGCATGGTCCTCTTCTCCTTCTGCGCGCAGGCCGCCTGCGGCGCCATCTTCGGCGTCATCCCCTTCGTCTCCCGCCGCTCGCTCGGCATCATCTCCGGCATGACCGGCGCCGGCGGCAACTTCGGCGCCGGGCTCACGCAGCTGCTCTTCTTCACGTCGTCGAGGTACTCCACGGGCACGGGGCTGGAGTACATGGGCATCATGATCATGGCGTGCACGCTGCCGGTGGTGCTCGTCCATTTCCCGCAGTGGGGCTCCATGTTCCTCCCGCCCAACGCCGGCGCCGAGGAGGAGCACTACTACGGCTCCGAGTGGAGCGAACAGGAGAAGAGCAAGGGCCTCCACGGTGCAAGTCTCAAGTTCGCCGAGAACTCCCGCTCCGAGCGTGGCCGCCGCAACGTCATCAACGCCGCCGCCGCCGCCGCCACGCCGCCCAACAACTCGCCGGAGCACGCCTAATTAAGAGGCCAAGTTAATTAATTATGCATGCATGTATAAACTGTTGAACGTTTTGTTACCGTTTTCTTTATACTATCTAGAGTATGTCGTCATGGAGAAAGGCCTTTGTATTACTTGCTTCGAAAAGCGTTTAAATGAAAAGAAAAAAGTTAAGAAATTTTTGTGATAAACCAACAAAACTACCCCCAAAGTTTGCACCATTGCGTTGATTTTTTTTCTTAAAAAAAAATGGAGGCAAAAGCTTTGCTTTGACTATACCATTGCGTTCAGTTATTACAGATCTTATTTGAAAGTAGAATTGCATACGAGGGAGACTACGTAACAATATACCATTGCAACAGAATAATTACCGTCAATATGGTACCATATGTACCATTTATGGTATCTTCGGTATCAGATATGACACCCCGTATGTATCAGATCCGGTACATAGGTACTATGTACATGACATAAAAGCAAGCGTGGTGCATCTTTTAGCTCTGTGTTTTATAAATAAAACCACATTTGTACACATCTTCAGTGGTTAATTAATCTCTACCCATTTATAATCTGGATCCACCATTGACCATTGTAACATAAATCGGCAACAACCAAAGCCAAGAGAAAGAACCATGATGGCCTCATGGCCAGATCACTGTTGGGGGGTGACTATACCGAATGGTTATTTAGGAGGTGTCTAGGATTATTAGCTGTTCAGCCAGGGTTATCTTTTCAGTAAGAGCATCTCCAACAGATGTACAAAATTCGAACCCCAAAAATCCTCTATTGGGGATAGCCAAAAAAGAATTTGGCCTAAAATACACCCCCCTTCAAGAGGTGTCCCAAAATGTTAAAATTTGCCACATAATCATTTGTGGGTCCTTCTCAACTAATTTTACAGCAACCAGTGATTGATCGAGTCGTCTCCGTAGTGTTGCTGCATGCGTGCAACAAAGACAGAAGATTACTGCAGCAGGATGAGGGAATTACCCAAGTACTGAATAGACACAATTCTGAATATAAATAGTTTGTATTGCACAGACGTAGTAAACCACCTAATCTAGACACAACAGACACAATTCTGAATATAAATAGTTTGCATTGCACAGACTTAATAAACCTAGGTAAATTTCTAACGAATCTTCACTAATCTGAACTCCAAGTACGATTGCCACCAAATATTGCCATCTCCTTCCCTCCCACTCTCTGATCTGGTGGTTTCCCTGTTGATAGTAATGAGATGGAGTTAAAATGAATCAGAATACATGTACAGATTATACAGCTGCCAATTTTTCCAATATATTGTAATTAATAATCTGAACAATTCTGGACATCTATGAACATTTCTGATATAATCTAAACAAATATTTCTGAACATTTCTGAATTGCCAGCTAGCACAACATTCTGAACGTTTCTAAAATAAATCTGAACAAATACAGTAGTCTTTGATGCTAGAAATCTACATCCAGATCAACTCAATCGAAGGTAATACAGCTGAAAATGCAATGCAGTATGTTAAATCTTTTGGCCTCAAAGACCAAAATTCAGACCAAGATTTGGCAGTGCATCATGCAGCATATTTAAAAATATATGCAGCCCCATGTATCAGTGGATCGAATCAGATGGTGTAGTGCAGCTGTGCAAAGGCAGCATTTCAACAAGATGGAGACAAGAACAAGTATATGCATGGACAGGGGCACTCAACTGAATGTAAACTGTTATGAGACACAAACCTATCAACCGGAACTGTTCATGCGACGAGCGATGATCTCATTTTGTAAACTCTTGTAGAACTGCTGCTGTTAGAGAGGCTTGGAAGAAATGTCCAGTTGAAAAATCTAACATAGTAGAGATTTGGACTGAGGAAGTGTACCTGGACGTAGAAGAGGAGGCACCTTGGAAGGGGAAGACGGTGGCCGGCGCTGCCCTCAATGGAGGACCAGCGACGCCCTAGATGCAGGGTCGCCACGCACCAGAAGAGGGGCTGCCGGCGCGCTGGATGAAGGGCCGCCGCCCACCGGTACGAGGGCCGCCGGCGCTGTGGATGGAGGATTGGAGGCGGCCTGTGGAAACCCTCGGAGGTGAACTGCGGCGGCGTGCGCCTAGCTCGAGAAAGAAACGGCGCGAGAGAAGGGTAGAAAAGAACCGGGCACCTGGCGGAAGAAAAAAAAGACGCGGGTGTGAAAAAAGTGGCGCGAGATGTTGATTGGGAGGGCGTATATGTTCCCAAAATCTAGGGGTTTGGCACTGGTTTTAGGCGTGGGTAAATTTTGGGATCTTGATTAGGAATCTGTTGGAGGGCTGTTTTTTATGAAAATCCTAAAATTTAATTTTTAGGAACCTTTTTAGCCCTCTCTTGGAGATGCCCTAATGAAAGTGGAACTATCAAAAGGTGTCAACTGTCAACCAGAAGAAGCAATATTATTTGAAAGGAAAAAAAAAACAGCTAAATACTTGGCAACTTAGCAACAATTTGTGCATGTCCAAAGTTCATGGAAGTGCATTAGACAAACATGAAGGACAGCTCAGGTACTTGTTGGACCTTATTAATGTCCACAACAAATGGCTTATCTCACCATCTTCAAATTTATAATCGAGTAAGATTATGACATGAAATGTGCACATCTTTGGAAATGGTCTACTGATCCAATGTCAACTTAGAAAACAATATATTAGATGCACCTGTATAGTTGTGTGTGTGAACTTAATTGGTATTGTGATTTTTTGAGGTTTGCTCAAAGAAGGAAGCAAAGGGTGTCCTTCCTCTCAAAAAAGAAAGAAAGAAAAAGGTGGCAAGAGTCAGATTAGGCAAACTCCCAAGTGCCAAGTGTGAACTGACAGAAAAGGGGAGAAATTTGGACTTTTAGCAAAATTTATAAATTCAAAATTCGGTTGGAACTTTCAAACAAAATATTTGATCAAATTTTAAATTTGAAAAAAATAATGTGCAAATCTAACCTAAATTTTAAGAGATGAGCTTTAACCAATTATGGAATATGACGTGTCCAGCAACCCTCCGCCATCTCTCATGCTTGTTTGCAAATCGAGATGCCATCGCCCCCTTGCACCATGAGATGTTAGAGCAGGTACAACAGCAGACTATAAGCCATCTATAAACACATATCGAGAAGATAAAATATGAGAGAGAAGAGCAGTGGGGTACAGATTTGTAGCCAGCTGTAGCACGGACTCCACGACACAATGTGTGTATGATAGATGGGACCATGTAAGTATATGTTTATAGGTAACTATTATATGAATTGGCTATTAAGTTGACTATAGATGATTTGGAGCTACTAGTTGGTTATACTATTAAACTTGCTCTTAAGGAGCCATCGTATCATTTTCAACCTAACAGAATACTCCCTCCATCCCAAAATATAACAACTTTTAGCCCTTAGGATTTGTCCCAAAATATAACTTCTCTACCAACATTCTCTTTCCAACCAATCACAACCCTCTACTATTCACTTTTCCCACCTACCTCCACTACTCGTCCAATCACAATCTTCCAACATTCACTTGTACCTACTTTCTTAATAACCATATCCAACTTGTCGGAGAATGAACTCCTCCACCAGGGAACCGTGAGGCCCCCCTTTGTGAGTTCGGCCGGGGGCAGCGGGTGAGATTCGAGGGCTTGGTGAGCGAAGCTGTGTAATCTTGAGGAGGTTCAATCCCCCAAAGACGATGAAACAAAAGGGGTTTATACATGTTCGGGCCGCTAAGAAGCGTAATACCCTACTCTTGTGCTTGATTGATTGAGTAGAGAACACCAGTGTTTGGGGTTGCGAGACCCAAGAGCCAGTTCGCTCGGAAGTCCCCCCCCTCTCCACCACTAGGCCTGGACCTCCTTTTATACCTCAAGAGGTTACCACATGGGCCCAACAACCTAACCTAGCTCCGGTGGAGAAGTATTATAATCTTTGCATTAAATGCATGTCTTGTCTCTTGACTTGGGAAGCCAAGCGCATGTCATCTTGATGATGGGGCCTGTCAAATCTTGCCGCCTGACATGGGGGGTGCCCCTGTTAGTCACCATTTAATGGGTGAAGACTTCTGGGCTCCTATTACACCGGGAAACGGGAGCCTTGCTTTGACCAGAGCGAGAGGACCGACTCCGGCTGGGATAAGAGGATGATAACCTGTCACCATCATTATTTGATGGGATATGTCGGGTTGCACGTCGCCTGACACACGCGATGGTGCGCCTGACATCCTGGGTCCCATCAGTCATTCGACCGGTCACAGACCGGTTGAGTGCACTGCACACCACATTAAATGCGGCGTGGCGCGACCGCTCGGGTCGCTATAAATGCGGGTAGGTGGGCACCTGGAGGTGGATACCTAACCCACCGTACGTGGTGACCTAGAGAGGGGGTTGGGGGAGCCCGACCCCTAGTTACGGGAGGGGACGGCCGCCGCCCGACCTCGGGCCCGATCCCCCCTCGGGGGGAGCCACGTGGCGCCTGGGGCGGCCTTCTCCCTCTAGTCTCGGCCAGGGAGTGGCCGCCGCCCTTTCTCGGGCCCGACCCCCCTCGGGGGAGGGCCACGTGGCATTGGAGGGCAGCCTCCTCCATCCAGTCTCTGGGAAGGAGTGGCCGCCACCCCACCTCGGGCCTAACTCCCCTTGAGGGAGGGCCACGTGGCATCGGGGGCAGCCTCCTCCGACTAGTCTTTGGGAAGGAGTGGCCGCCGTCCTAACTCGGGCCTGACTCCCCTCGGGGGAGGGCCACGTGGCATCGGGGGGCAGCCTCCTCCGACTAGTCTTTGGGAAGGAGTGGCCGCCGCCCTACCTTGAGCCCGACCCCCCTCGGGGGAGGGCCACGTGGTATCGGGGGGCAGCCTCCTCCATCCAGTCTCTGGGAAGGAGTGGCCGCCGCCCCACCTCGGGCCCGACCCCCCTCGGGGGAGGGCCACGTGGCATCGGGAGGACAGCCTCCTCCGACTAGTCTTTGGGGAAGGAGTTTCCGCCACCCCACCTCGGGCCTGACTCCCCTCGGGGGAGGGCCACGTGGCATCGGGGGGCAGCCTTCTCCGACTAGTCTTTGGGGAAGGAGTGACCGCCACCCCACCTCGTGTAACGCTCCGCTTCTCGTGAGACGTTAAAAACTAATTCGGTAAAATCCTAATTGCGAAAATTTTGTTCTTTGTGTGCGAGTTTAAGTCGTGCCATGGATCTCAATTCAATCCCGTTGTTCC